ATAATTTGAAAGCCAAGGGCACATATTCATCCCTTGAATGGGGGGAATTGCATTTCAGTGTAAGTTTCCCACATCTCTAAGTGTGCTTTTTTTGTGCTCTGTGATTTATGTTTTCTTGGCCACAGCATCTCTGTATATTCTGCCAGTGATCAAAACCAGTAGACACATACTGGCATTTTAAACTTCAAAATGCAGCAATCTGATGGCCTTCTTGGTTTACTTGCCCACAAATTACAGAGATGTATGGCTTTAGCCCATTGTGTAGATTAGTTGAATCAAAGAATGTTTTGACAGCTAAGGTGTCTAGACCCACTAGTACCAACCAACTAAATACAGATCATTATGTCTAGATTTTAAAATCCTCACCTGTACTGGCTTTAAGCATTTTAATACAAGTCTAAAAGACAGTGGCCTGTAATTCTACTTTCAGGGTTGTCTTTGAGCTAAATTCACATTGAATCCTGTCTCAGAGATTACCAAGAAACCTAACTGTAGCTACTTCGCTCACAAGGTTTTTGAGCTTCATTAGCAAACAAAAATATTTGTTGGAAAGAAAAGTCTGAACAAAGCAACCAGCAAAAAGTATCTGAGTAACTGAATCATTTCCCTATTCTCCCTTATAAATGAAAAAAATCACTACAATATAGATGGATAAGTCTAGTAAGTCTGGAGTTGCAGTGAAATCTGCTGTGGGCTGGGCAGTAAATGATGCTGATTTTTGCCCCTCATGCAGACAAATTCCTTTGAATAATATGATTCAAAGGTGAAAATCTCCAAAGCAGAGCTTTGCTGTCCCACACCCTACAAGTATTTCATGAAGCTCTATCAGACATTATGGTCCACAGTGGCCCACACAAGTCCAGCTTTGTGACATGGAAATTTGAGCTTTTGTGTGACCTCTCCAGCTTTTCCTATATGGTTCAGCCAGCCAAGCCTTGATCCTCCTTCTCTGCTTTTGCACACCATCTTTCCAGGCTTTCTCTCCATTCTCCATATACTAAAACCTAGTAAGTTTTGTTATAAGTGATGTCTCACAGAAGCCTATAAACTGTCTGGATAGGTCTCCTTTAACAGGCAAGAAACAAAAAGCAGTTACATTTACAGACAACTCTCTTGCATGACCTGGACTTTTGTGAAAAAGTTTTTTTATTTAACTTAGTGAAAACCTCTTTGTATGACACTCATCAAACCAACTCTAGATCCAGGAGCATAAATAATTTATGCCCACTCTTATTCTGGATCCTCTGAGATTCTCTTTCCCTCAAGTAGATCTTCAGCAGGGAGGACAATACAGCTCAACAGCTGAGACATCCATGCTCAGGAAGAAAAAATCTGGCACTCTGGAGATACCTGTCTCCATCAGTTATACCAGGAACCCACGCAAATAGTTTCATCTATTTACCTAATTTTCAGATGAATAAAGTTAGGTAAGTTGAACTCCACCCTTCAAGATGGAATAAGTGTCAGTGTCACCGGGCTGAGAACAAGTATTTGCCACAGAAAGCCAACAAGCAAACACAAACGTCGGGAATTGTCGAAGTTCAAAGCCTACAAAGGCAAAAATCAGCTGTTCCAGACAGCTAACGCGAGCAGAGGCTGCGAGGTGGGAGCCGCGCAGCGCTGCTGTTGGGAGGATGCCGGGAGGATGCTGTGAGGATGCTGTGAGGGTGCTGTGAGGATGCCGGGAGGATGCTGTGAGGATGCCGTGAGGATGCTGTGAGGATGCTGGAGGGATGCTCGGGGCACTGCAGGCAGCAGGAGCCGGAGCCCAGCGCAGGGCGGGCGGGTTTCGGGAACCGAAGAGTGCTGGTGCCACCTAGAGGGAGTTACTCGCCTAAAAATGGGGAAATCGGCGCCGCACATGGTGTCACACCATCAGCCACAATTGTACAGCACTGGGGAAAAAACCCAGAAAGAAGGACTCTCTCTTACTGCTGTGCAAACTATTTACACAATAGGAGCGGTAGCAGCGTAGAACTTTCATCTTCATCTCAGTTTAGCTTGAAATTATAAATGCAGACAGTATATTTAAGACAACCAACTACTGATTCCTCTTCCCTTCAAACAATTTCCCAGCCACACAGCTGTACTCCTTCCCTTCTTCCTGCAATTATCTGAACTGTGAGGAAATAGCCAACAAGCTGACCACACTGGAGGCTGGATCCCACTTTCCTGTAGGGACAGCCATGGCTGGAGCCAGCTGGCATGGAGGGTGGCTTGGGTGTCCAGGAAACACTGACTATGTGCTCAAGAAAGCCTCAGGGATGCAACTCCACAGCCCTCTGCAGACCACCAGCTTTTCCAAATGATCATCTGGAGTCTGGCATCTCCCTGTGTAACTTAAATTTGCTCTGCATTATAGCAGGAAAAGGGCCAGCACCCACAAGCAAAGGAAGGATTCAAGCATAAACATAAATCGCTGTAATTCTTTCATCATTGAATCTGCCACCCACACCTGTAGGTTTTACCATTATAACAGCAGTGACAATAACTTGCAGGGACACTGTGGAGCTGGGGGAAGTGTTGTTGATGGATGGACTCTGCGACCCTTTCATAGTAGGTTAAAGTAATTTCTGAGTAAGTGTTGACCAAAACATTGTACCAGAGCACTTTCCTTTAAGCTTCTGCACATGATCACTGCCATGGGTTAGTCCATGGGCACAGCATTCATGCTGTGGATTTTATTTGCCCCAGAGGAAATCCCACGTGGCATCCGTGCTGAAGGTGATTGTTAAGATATTAAAAGAGACCTGTTCTACCTGTTACAGCTGCAGTTTTCTCAAACACTAATTCTCTCCCTTCCCACCTATGTGTTCTGGTAGAGTACAGAACAAGTGTGGGGCCATGCCTACTAAACCCTCTTTGTCTGGCTTTGCTGCTCGTGACACTGCAGGCAACACATCACAGCTACCAACACCGCTTGCCATGTGGAAATAGTGCCTCATACACTTGTACTTACACCTAGAAGATTCCAGGTCTTCATTCCTTAAAGCTTAGCTCATGAAAGAGGTATTTGATATTAAATATTTGGTAGTTCACAGACCTCCATGAGAGCTGTACCTCCAAGGAGCTGGGTTAGACAAATTTGGAAGATTATTGAAGTGCCAAAAAGTTGAGTACGTGTCACCCTAAATGGGAACATGACGAGATGCACTGCATGTCTTTGGGTATGTGGGACTGTCCTGCTGGAGCCCTGCTGTCATACACCAGATTATTCCCCAGCAGCACACCTGCAGGCACTCTGGCTTCACTGTCTCATGGGGGCACTGTAACAGCCACATTCCTTGTCCTTCTCTTAAAACACATCCCCAAACTCTACAGAAAAATGTATCTGGAGTGCCATGGAAGACAAGGATCCACTCAGACTGTTGCACAGCCATGCCATACACCCAGCCAGGAGTCTTTAGACCATGATTTCATGAAAATAGCAACTGCACTGGCCAACAAAATTGTTGAGCAAAGCTATTTCAAGTTTTAGAAGGTTGCTGCTCAGACAAGGAAGGACTTGCTTTATAGGCCACACCATTGCTGCCCCTTGTCTTACCTGTCTTGTGGAAGCTTTAAAAGGAGCAGACTGCAGAGACAAAGCTGTGACATGTCTCCTTTTTGTTTCAGAAAGAAAATGAAGCTGAAAAGAAAGAGGTACATCTGCTGTGTTTCAGAGAGACACACTGCAAGAGTGGACAATGTCCAGCTGAGGGGAATGTGCAGCACAGGAGCACAGGGTGCCTTAAGTCAGGACCTGCAGAAGGACATTGCAGCTGTGACCTGCAGGCTGTCACAGGCAGCTCCCGTGCCATCACTGCTTGCACAGCAGGCATGGCTGCTCCCTGCTTGCACATGCCTTGCTCTGCTGGGGCCAGTCACCTCAGCAGCACTCTGGAAATGTGGCTGTGTGGAATGCAGAGATAAGCATGGCAAGGCAGCTGCTGGCTGAGCTCCCCAGCTGCAGGGCTGGGAAGCAGGGATAGTGACACTCCTACCTCCTGCCCAGCACAGCCTGGGCATGCTCTCCTTCCCCCTGCTCTCACCAGCTGGGGAATTACCCACATACAGTCAGCTCCTTCCTCTCACTCCCCAAAGATTTACACCCACCTGGCTGATATATTCATCTCCTGCTAATTAACAAAACCATTTGGCCATGAAATCCTTGAACCAGATTTAGGATTCAGTTATATGGAATTGACAAGAGAATTAGACTGAACACCAAGCATTGTCATAAATGATATTGAATTAAACACATTTATTATAACCTGTCATGCAGATAGAACCAGAGAGCTACCAACACATTTTAGCAGGAAATGTGAAATTCAATTATTTTTTCCCAAAGCAATGTCACTGACGTCATGAGTGTTTCAGCAGTGCATGTGCTGCTTTGAAGGATTCACTGATCGGATTGATTAATGCAGTCATATCTCAAAATAATCTAGGCAGGATTTATACCTCTGCTTAGTAAAAGTGCACTGGTAAAATATAAAATGTGCACCTCAATGTCCTTCTTCTACTAAAGGGCCCAGAAATTAACCCAGCGCTCAAGGTGTGGCCTCAGCAGTGCTGAGCACAGGGGGACAATTCCTGCCCTGGTCCTGCTGGCCACACTATTTCTGATAAAGGCCAGGATGCCATTGGCCTTCTTGGTCACCTGGGCACATCTGGCTCATGTTCAGCTGCTGTCACCAGCACCCCCAGGTCCTTTTCTGCTGGGCAGCTTTCCTGACACTCTTCCCCCAGCCTGTAGCACTGCACGGGGTTGTTGTGACCCAGGTGCTGGACCCAGCACTTGCCTTGTTGAACCTCACACTACTGGTCTTAGCCCATGGATCCAGCCTGTCCAGACCCCTCTGCAGAGCCTTCCTGCTCTCCAGCAGATCAACTCTATCGCCCATTTGGCGTTATCCATGAATTTACTGGGGGTACACCTGACTCCCTCATACAGATCAACAATAACGATATTAAACAGGACTCAATACTGAGCCTTGGGAGGCACCACTGCCAGCTGGATGCAGTACCATTCACCACCACTCTCTGGGCCCGCCCACCCAGCCAGTACCAGCGAGGGGTACAGCTGTCCAAGCCGCGGGCTGCCAGCTTTTCCAGCAGACTACGGCGGGGAACGGCGTCCAAGGCTGTCAGACAACACGGCCCGGCGCTGCTCTGGGCGCGGGGGCAGGCACAGCGGGCAGCGCCCAGGCTCCGCAGCGCCGCTCGGGCTCCAGGGACCCGCTTTTCCCGAGAACGGGAAGCGGAAGGGACAGCGCCGCTGTCGGGGCGGGGCAAAGCAGGGCGGAACGGGCCGGGGCAGGGGCCGGGCCGGGTCGGGGCGGAGCGGGTCCGGGGCGATGCTGGCGGCGCTGGCCGCCGCCTGGTCCCTGCTGGCCGCCGCCTTCCTGGCGGCGCTGCTGCTGCTCCGGCGGGCCCCGGCGCCGCGGCCCGGCCGCGGTGGCCTGGTGATCGCCGGCCTCTTCCAGGACCTCATTCGCTACGGGAAGACGAAGCGCGGATGCGGGCAGCTCCCGGGCTGGCTGCGGCTCCTGCAGGTGCCCAAGAGGTGAGGCCCGTCGTGCCGCCGTGGCGGCGCGCAGCGATGGCCGCGTCTCCGGTACTGGGTGCGCGTCTCGGGTGCCGGGTGCGCGTCTCGGGTACCGAGTGTATGTCTCGGGTACCGGGTGCGTGTCTCCGGTACCAGGTATGTGTCTCGGGTACCGGCTGTGTGTCTCGGGTACCGGGTGTGTATCTCCGGTACTGGGTGCGTGTCTCGGGTAACCGGGTGTGTATCTCCGGTACCGGGTGCGTGTCTCGGGTACCGGCTGTGTGTCTCGGGTACCGCAGCCGGAGATCGCGGCAGTGAATAAGCAGCACACGCCGAGGTTTTATAGAGTTGGGCTCAGCTTTGTTGCGAAGTGTTACTCTGGTTCTGCAGATGGGGAACCGAGGAGCATAGAGACTGCGAGCGGTCATCCAGAATCCGTGTGTTCCAAATCGGAGCAAAAACCGAATCCCTTGAATCCCAGTCGCATGCCAGGTTTCCAAAACAAATCTCCCTGCAAGACTCAGGTCAGGCACCTGGGAACGTGGAATCCTGAGTAATTGTTACTCTACAAATATGCTGCAGGTTGATTGTCTTACACCAGTTTGCAGTCATTGCCTTCTCCCTTCAAGGTTTCTTTTTGAAATGTGGCCAATACCAGCATGGCAACACAACAATCTAGAGCTTGCATGAACAGTCTCTGATAAGGCAAAAGAACCACTGCATTATCCAAATTCACCTTAACAGATGTTTGATGAAAGAAATTAAGTATATGTATATGTTTAGATGTGTAATTAAATGAATGAAATTAAATAGATGTTTAGTGAAATTATGGAAGGAGGCAGTCGCCCCTCCACCCCCCTTTACAGCTTTTTATATGGTTTTATATATTATGGGATTTCTTATTTTTTTAATCAGCTGAGATTCATGACTAGAACTAGTCTTTGACTTGAACGTAGGCCAGACAGGTTCTTGCAAGGCCAGCAGGACAGGACTGGGAGGCTACTTAGCCTGAAGAGCTGATCTCCCCCCTATTGTAACAATCTCTGACACATTTTGTATACAAAGCTTTCAAATGAAAAGTTAAAAAAAGTTTTGTGACCCAGCAATTATTCATGGAAAGGTTGTAATCGGTTATCAGGCTTCATGACACAGAATATACCCAAAGATGTGTTTAAAATGTGCAGTACCCTGAGTGAAAATAAGGATTCATAAAGGCTTTGTCCTAATCACTATGTACTGTAGCTTCTTGTCTGAGTTGACCTTTCTCCAACAGAAGTTTCCCAACACCCCTGCTTAGGGAGATTGGTGTCTGAAGAATGTGGTTTTTCAGAGAATTGGTCTCAAGGTCTCAATATATGCAAAGCAATTCTGTTAGTTAATCATAATAATGTCAGCGAATCCATAACACTTCTACCTGAAGGAATAGAGAATATCTTGAAGGTAGCCATCTAGGTGTTTTCTATTCTTTTCAACTGTGTCTTGTTTCCAAACAAGCATTGTGTTTTCACTAGCCTGGGCTTGTTTTTAACTTTGCCGTTCTGTCTTGTAAAATGTTGTGTTGCATTTCAGGTTGGTTTGGCAAATAGAGAAAATTCCTCTCGTTGAGGAGGGATGGCACGGGCGCAGTGCTGGTTTGAAGTGTAGGTCAGATACACCCCCACTGTAATTGGGATTGCTGAAAGCTCGAAGGGTGTGTCTCTTTTAAGTTGTCAGGGCTTGTCTGCGTGCTGGTGGCAAAAATCAATGTGTGGAGAAAGTTTCCTGGCAAGTGACAAGATATGAGTCAACTGAGTAATAGGACTTCAGGGAAAGAGCTTGAAACTTGGAGGTGATGGTGTGTTTTTATCAATGTACAAATTCTGTTTGTCTTAGAAAGTGAGGGAGGGGGCTTAAATTTTAGTTCTGCTGTTGTGAATCAGCAGAGAGAATGTTGCAGTTTCTGCTTTGTAGCAGAAGGAACTGAGGAGAAGTCATAATCTACAGGGAAAGGCAGCTGCCAATGGACAAGGTGCTCTGGAGCACACAGGGATGCTCGCTAGTGCTGTGATTCTGACTTGATCTCTTTTGTTCTCTTGAGAGATACCTGAGCTGCTCTGGGGAGGGTCACTGGTTTCTCTAAGCAGGGGTGTTGTAGCCCTTCACTGCCCTAAGAGAAGAGTTTGCATGTTCAACAGAAATGTGGTCTTCACTTGACTATACAGGTGCAGCCTAGTTTTGTACCTATAGTTACATTGTCAAATCAAGGCCATCAGAGTCTTCCCATGGGACTTATTTTATCTCTTTGCAGATGTTTCCAGAAGTCTTGATTTTTCTTCACTGCCAGAAGGATTTCTAATTTTAAAAGCAAAAGGAAATACTGGATCATCTAGTTTGAGCTGGATATTGTAAACAGCTATAGGCTGTTTAACTCAGCCCAGTTACCTGCCTTGACTGTCATGTCTTGCATTTTGGTAATGCACAATATGCTTTTATACGTGCATTACAGGGTTGGGAGATCCTTTGTTTTCTTAAAAAAACAAATGCGTGGCCTTGCCTTGTAATCACCCAGCAGCGTTGATGGTCACTGCTTTTTTTCTATATGATTGTTGCAGACCTTGAATTTGCAGAAGGACAAGATATTTTAATGTTGAGCAGGGTAATTACTTCTGGGTTTCTTTGATGAATTTTAACATGTCATGTAATACACCCACTGGAACTGAGAAAAGCGGGAGTGCTGTGAGGTGCAGCAGCTTGGAAATAAGCAGAAAACTAATCTGAATGTGCTTTGAGTGGTGTAAATTATAAAGCAAATGTACATCACGGTCAGTTGTAAGCCTTGAGGAGTACTTTTGCAATGTGTGGATTACACCGTCTCCTCTTTAGTGCAGCTGTGGTTAGTAAGCTAAGCTAAGTTAAGATATAGGCAGCATTTTACTGGGTTAAAATGTGGTTATTCCTGCTTGGTACCACTGAAGTCCTGAGTTTTCTACTTGGACATTTGTTGTGGGCACCAAAATGGAATGTACTCCCCATCAGACAAGCATGTCCTGCAGCTACATTTCCAAGGAATTATGAGAACATTAATGAAAACCCTTTTTTGTTCCCACAGGTGGTTTACTCACTTTTATGTGGTTTCTGTGCTCTGGAATGGTTTCCTGCTGATCTCTCTTTTCCGAGCTGAGTTCCTTGGAGAGTCACTCCCATCATGGATTCAGGACATGCACCATGCTCTTGGCAGAGATTCTCAGAGCAAGGACACAGGCAAGTATTCCAGAAATTATAATGTAGCCATATAAATAAAAAACTTGGATACTGAATTTGTATCCAAGTACTACTTCATTGGTTGCTTTTCAGCTATGCTCCAAATTACTTTCCTGGTACACCAAGTGCCTTTGTCATTATTGAAGATAGAAATATTTATAGATATGCTGGCTTTCAGCAGTCCTTTTAACAGAAAACGCCATTAGCACCTCCTGGAAGAAATCTTGCTCTGATCAGCAGTGCCTCACCTATACAAATATTTTTCCCAGTTAATTTAAAATGAGGGTAAAATTCTGCTGTGGGAAGAGGGAACATCAGTCTTTTTTAAGCACTGTCAGGGTTAAATTGTTCCTGTCTGTTTCAAAGTTGCTGGTTTCTGTCTGTAAGCAGATAGTGAGCACTTCTCTGCACTCCTGGTTCTCTTGCTCCTTTGGCTGCATAGCTGTCGAAGGCTTGCAGAATGCCTCTGGACCAGCGTGTTTTCCAGTGGTGTCATTCATATCGTGCAGTACTGCTTTGGACTTGGTTACTACATTGCTGTTGGCTCAACTGTGCTGTGTCAAGTGCCTACTAATGTCAGGAATGGTAAGTGCCTGCTTAGTTATCATCAAAGATGCAGTTTTGCTCTCATTTGTTTCCATTGTGGCAAATGGTTTCATAGAGAGCTGCTTGTTTGAGAAGTGTGTTAACTGATGAGACATAAAAGTACTTCTGGCATAGTTCAAAGTAATTACATTTCAGTATATCATACAATCAGCCAGCATTATGCACAAACACAGGCAGGGACACACTTTCATGGTTAATTGCTGAAAGGATATAGGTCGTACACTTTGTGAAGGACAGTAATAGGTACCAGTTCTCAAATGCCACTACATAACTTCAGTTCTCAAACTAAAGAGGAGGTTTTTTTGTTATAATCTTTCCTGCAAACTGAGTCTGCAAAGCTGTCTTGGCCACCTCCTTTTTTTTCCATGGAGAACTTGCCACTGCTCTGCCTTGACTCAGGCAGTGTCTTCTTTCCCTTGGTACTGCAATGTTTCCATTAATACATGAGAAATTTGTATTATATGACTTGTTTCTGCCAACACATTCCATTGGGTCTCACAACTGAGCTGCTAAATCCCCTGCACAGCCGAACCATCAGCTGGCTGTAGCACTCCTCCTGTGATTAATTTTTGTGAGGCAGTCATTGCCAAGTTTGGTGAAGTTTTTAAGCACTTTGAACCACGTTGGGCAGAGGGTGGTGGGTACATGTGTGTGTATGTATGTGTGTCACTGTGAGGGAGACAACTGTGTTGACCTGAGCTATGACAACATGTTTAATTAGGATAATAATAGTTACAATCAGTGTTGAATATTAAGGTCTTAGGCTACCAATTATGTGTCGTTTCACATCACACTGTATTTCAAGATGCTGGATTAATAACTAGGTATTTTATTAGAGAGCAGTCAAGGGAAATGACCTACTACCTGGGCACTCAAATGATACAGGGTTTCAAAGCCTCTTTCAAGGAATTAGAGGCTCCCTACTAGAATTTTGTAAGACAGTAACATTTGAGAAAATGTTATATAGTGTTTTGAGATGTTATATATATTATATATATATATTGTTTGAGAGATTGTGTATGTTATATATGTTATAACACTATATGTTTATAACACTATATGTTATATAGTGTTTTGAGATGATGCTTGGGAAGTTACTTCATGGCCATATATTAATAAAACATGTTTCATTCAGGAAAAAAGCTCTCTGGGCAGATCTGCTGGTATCACATCATAGGAGTTATGATGTACATTTGGGCCTCTCTTCACCAACACAGATGCCTTGCAATTCTAGCTAATCTTAGAAAAAGCAGATCAGGTAAGATGTTTCATTTCTGTCAAATATTTACTTGGGTTTTTTTTTTTTTCTGGTTGTTTCAATAGGCTTCTGTAGCTTCTAATACCTTAAAAACAAGTGTTTCTCAGTTCCTGTAGTATGTAGAATAAATGAGGCTGTTTGGATGGCTGAAGTGGGGGGACAGGGTGTGGTATGTCTGTATATATAGTTCTGAAAAACGTAAAATGAAGCTAACAACTTAAGGATAGACGTGGTTTCCATACTCTGTTTGCACAGCCAGAGGTGGCATCTTGTTTCATTAAGTGCAAAGCTGTCAGATCAGATGGAGGTGGATGATGATGAGTAATCAGCACATTGTTCTGTAATTGTGAGAAGATTATGATGATGAATAAGTATATTGTTCTGTAATTGTGAGAAGAAGAGTTTGTTTAATGCATCTTCCCAGTTAATTTCTTTCTGTTTGCTTGCAGGAAAGGTGGTAAGTCTGAGCCACAGTGTACCTTTTGGAGACTGGTTTGAGAGCGTCTCTTGCCCTCATTATTTTGCAGAGCTCCTCATATATGTTTCTATGGCCATCACACTTGGAATGCACAATGTGACATGGTGGTGTGTAGTGATGTATGTTCTTTTTAACCAGGCATTGGCTGCTGTTTTGTGTCATGAGTTTTATCAGAAAAACTTCAGCTCATACCCAAAGCATCGAAAAGCATTTATACCACTTGTTTTTTAGATGATTTTTTCTTAAGTATTTTCATGCAAACTGGGAATATAAGAGATTAATGGCTTATTAAAACCAAGGTAAAGTCACACACTTTCTCTAATTCTACCTCAAAAGCCCATAATTTTAATGATAATCTCTTCCAAGTGACCAATTTCTGAGGAAATGTAAGGTCTCTGCATATCATGCAAGCTAAAAAAGGTTTACTAAAGACCTTAATTCAAAGTGGAGAGATGCTAATTGTGTCTTTTCTCTTTTATAGTTATATCTTATGCATAAAACACTTGCTGTTGTGCAGCAAGTCCAAATTCATATTTGTGAAAACTATTGAAAGGGGGGAATCATTTGAACTACTGTATTTTATGTCTTGACTAATATTTAAGCATATTTATTTCCAAGTCTCTTTTCTTTGAATCACTTCAGAGGGAGGCAAATTGTGTATCTTTCTGTGCTTCCCTGGTGACAATGAAAACCAGCCACTGCTTTACAACTGGAAGCACAAAAAGCAATGGAGAAAGCTGTGGTGGAGGAGTGACTCATGCTCAGCAGTGGAGATAAACAGACCCATTTGCTGCATTATCTCTTCTGCACCAAAATGGTTTTGTTCATTGATGAAGACTGCTTTGTCCCTAAACTGGGAAAATAGTGGAAGGTCCTCTGACTAAAAAGACAGTAGAAGAAAAATTGCAGAAAATTAATGTTCTTTGTTGTGGTTCTGTTGTCTTTATAGTGGGTTTTTGGAGTCCCTTGTGTGTTAGGGGGGACAGCTGTGCAGGATGACCATAACCACAACTACACTGGTTTCTAAACAGATATAATGAACTGCCAGGGCAGAGCACATGCAGAAAACAGTACCTAACAAACATTGCAAAGAAATTCTTTACTGGGGAGATAATGTAACTTAGCACAGGGACGTTTTTTGCACTTAACTATTGAATATTTTGGTCCTTCTCATGACAATGGTGTGAATGATCCCTTTGTGTGATGAACTGATATGGGTGCTGGTGTTTCAGCATGTTGTCTACTTACATGCACACCTTATTTTGTACATAAGAAGTATTTTTATACAATGAAGTATATCTTATCAATTAAAAGTTTATTATACTCTGTTTCTATTTTGAATGGTTTTTCAAAATTGAGCTTACGTATTTGAAAAACATGAGCAATCGCTTTATTGCTCCTCAGGAAGCACATTCCTGTCCTTGCTCTGTGGAGAGCATTGGGACACACAGCTGTCCTGGGAGAGCATCACCTGGAGTGCTGTGTTGGGTTCTGGGCTCCTCAGTTCAGGAGAGACATGGAGCTCCTGGAGCAGGTCCAGCAAGGGCGAGAGATGGTTATGGGGTTGGAGCATCTCTCTTACACAAGGAAAGGTGGAGGAAGCTGGGCCTGTTCATCCTCAAGAAGAGTCTGCGAGGGGAACTCATCAATGTCTGCAAGTATCTAGAGGTGGGCGTGGTGCCAAGAGGATGCATTCAGGCTCCCTTTGGTGGTGCCAGCCAACGGGACAAGAGGCAATGGGCAGAAACTGATACACACGAAGTTCCACCTGAATATGAGGAGGAACTTCTTTTCTGTGCAGGTGACTGAGCACTGGAACAGATTTCCCAGAGAAGCTGTAGAGTCTTCCTCACTGGAGCTGTTCAGGACACAGCCCTGAGCCATGCGCTCCGGGCAGGCCGTGCCCGAGCAGGGGGATGGATGGGATGGCCGTGCCAGAGCAGGGAGCAGGGGCTGGACGGGCTGGCCGTGCCTGAGCAGGGGCTCGGATGGGATGGCCGCTGTTGTCGCTGCCAGCCCGACCCGCTCTGTGATTCAGTGCTCGGGCCCTGCTGGGCTCACGCATACACGAAGCGCTGCTGCGCACTTGGCCAGCAACGAAACCGAGACGTGTCCGGGCCGTTCCTATGCGGATTTTTCTGCCGCCTCACGCAGCCGCTGCCCGTCCCTGCCGCTGCGCCCTTTCCCTGCCCGCAGGCAACCCCGAACGGGGAAGGGACACGCTTGGACTCGCCCGCTCCGCGGGAACGCAGCGCAGCCACCTTTGCCCGTCGCTTCGCCACGCCGGGAGCCGAAGGAGGGAGGGGGTGCCGACCCTCGCCCGGTCACCCCGGCACACGGCGGCGGGCCCAGCACCCCGGCGCAGGGCGGCGGGCCCGGCAGCGCGGCGGGAGGCGCGGCGGGAGGCGGGGCGGGGCGGGCCGTCCGTGCGCGGCAGGAAGCGGGCGCGGGCGGGGCGGCGGCGGGGCCGCGGCGCGGGCGGTGACGCGGCGCCCTCAACCGGGGCTCGCGCCGCCCCCCAGCTCCGCGCTCGGCCGCCATGGGGTCCCCGCCGCCGCTCCCGCGGGCCGCCGCGCTGCTCCTGGCGGCCGCGCTGCTGCTGGCGGCCCCGGCCCGGCTCCGCGCCGCTCCCGAGGAAGAGCCCGGCAGGAAGAAGGAGCCGCCGCCACCGCCGGCGGCGCAGGGAGCGGAGCCGCGGGCTGAGGTGAGGCGGGGACGGGCCGCGCCGGCTGCCCGCGCTGTGCCCCCCGCGGCAGCGCTCGGCCGGTGCCGCGCTGCGCTTCCGGGGGCCGTCGGGCTCCGAAATTCCCCGCTTTTAGCAGAAAAAGAGGAGGGCTGCAGGGCCACCGCATCCTCCCCTTTTTCTGCTAAAAGAGGGACATCTGTGTCCGACATGGGAAAGGGGTCAGTGCTCCCTTGCCCCCGCAGGAGCAGCTGAAAGCTGGCTTTGTTGCTGCTCCAAAGCTGCCGGGTTTTTTCTCTCAACAATTAATATAAATTCCTTCGCGTTAAAACTTATTCAGCAGTGTTCTCGGTGAGGGGATTCTAGTTCCACTGATCACGCAGAGGGATGGAAAAATTCCTGACGTGTGGCTTGGTGTAGCACATGGAGCACGCCGGGTGTCACATACACAAACCAGAAAACACAGAGTGCTGCAAAAGGTGAAGGAACTCGGGGAAGTCACAGCGTGTCACACAGAGCGTGGGAGCTAAATATCAACACCAGGAAACTTGGAGCACTGCTGGCAGCAAGTGGAATGCTGGGAAGCCGTCATGTCAGAGCAGGCTGCGGGCTGTCTGCTGGTGGATGTGCTGGAACAAGCTTTCTCAGCCATCCCTGGTCAGGGATGTGAACATGGAGATCTTGGGCCTTGTGTTTGATCACAGATGCCTTACTGTGTGTAGAAGTAAACACTTCGGCGAGTGAGTGGGAACTGGAGTGTGCTGGTCTGGTTTCACCACTGGAGAGTCTTGAAGTTAGTTTTCAGCAAACACAGAGCAAGTGCAGAAGAAGCTGATGGAAACTGGTATAAAATTTGGCTTGGGCTCAATCAGTAAAAGTGTATGCTAGGTAATGGGAATAAATTCTTTCATGTGAGAGGGGTTAGGCACTGGTACTGGGTGCCCCATCCCTGGAAGCGTTCAAGGCCCGGTTGGATGGAGCTCTGAGCAAAGCTCCATCCCGGTTGGATGGAGCTCTGAGCAAAACTAGACCATTTTTCACTGGTCTAGTGAAAAATGTTCCTGCCCATTGCAGGGGTCTTAAAACCAGATGATTGCCTAAGGTTCCATCCAACCCATCCATTCTATGAATCTATGAAATTTTAATGTGTCTGAGATGCAGAGATTTTGCAAGGGAAGGAAATGATCCTGACCATTTTTGAATGGGCTTTTTTTTCCTAAGGTATTGTAGTCACCCAGTTTTATTTTGAAGCACTTACTAATATTTATATCAGAAAGCTGTTCATGGTTGAGGTCATAAAATGGGTAGGGATTTTCAAGACAGCAATACTGCACCTGAGCTGGACATGTTTTGTTGTAATGGTGGCTCTCATATTCCGGTAATAGCATGCACAGTGCAGTAATGTTTTAATAATGAGCAGGATCCTTTTGCCAAGTGCCTAACTGGCAATTTGAGGTGGGTGGCAGCCAGGAACTAGTTAATGGTCATTAATGAACATGAGAGGTGTATCTGCTTAAAATGTCACACTACACAGGGTGCTGTGACAGGAGAAGTACAAGGCTTTGTATTTCTGCAGTACCAAGCATTCAAGCCTAATTGACGAGTGTTTAGGATTTGTTTTGTCTTTCTCTCCCCCCCCTTCTTACAGAAAGGCTCCTCACTGGTTGCTCCAGTCCACATTGTCAGTGAGGAGTCGGCTGACAAGACTAACCTGGGCTTTATTCATGCCTTCGTGGCTGCTATCTCGGTCATCATCGTGTCGGAGCTGGGGGACAAGACCTTCTTCATCGCGGCCATCATGGCCATGCGCTACAACCGCCTGACCGTGCTGGCCGGTGCCATGCTTGCCCTGGGACTCATGACGTGTTTGTCAGGTCAGCACGCTGCTCCTTCTGCTTTGTTCTGTCTCTTAAGGAAGTGATGGGTATGTGTTTATCCAGAAACCTTAAGTGGAATGCAGGTAGTACATACACACAGTTTTCTGTTTGGAGGAGAGTGTGAAGCTTTTCATGTGGAGCATGGCATCTCAGATGGAGTATTTAGGCTCTTTCCTATGAATTCTTTGTGTTCCCTAGGCTTCAGCTGGTGTTTAAGGAAGGGGAATGAGATGGAGAGCCTAAGCACTTCCTTTGATTTTTGGACTGGTTTACTTTTTTTTTTTTTTTGCCCCTGGTAAATTAGTGTGCCTAAAGGGAATGTGGGAGTGGCTTGAGTTCTTCCTCCTAAGGCAAAAGATTCTTTATATGATGACACATTTTCCTCATCTGACTTGTATTCCTGCACACAGAGCTGTTTGGATTTGTGCTGGGAGGTGTGTAAGTGGAGTATGGAGGGGCAGGAGTAGGAAGTAAGGTGTCAGGGGGCACTTGAGGAACCTGTAGCTGTGGGCACTTAGGTAGCTGTGTTTGTAAAATGGAGCAGCTTCAGGTACATCAGATGCAGCACAGAGTTTGTCTGTGTGCTCATTTCTAACCATGCCCATTTCAGAAATCCTTGAAATAGTGGTGATTGGTTTCTACACGTTGGAGACAGCCAGTTCTCTGGCACAGGCTGCTTGGCAAGTGTTTCTGTGAATGGTTTTTGGGTGTGTAGCTGTTGCTGTGTACACACACTGCTGCGACTGTTGCAGCTTCAGTTAGAGCAGTTCCCACTTGCATTGTGTGTAATTTCTCCTGCCCATTAGGGCTCTCTTTTTCTATACAAATTATTTCTTCAAATCTTTCTTAATGCTTTCTTATAAAAGCTCCCTTTTCTGCTTTTATCCCCCAGTTTAGAGGTTCCCAATTATTTATTCCCTTTTCAGAAAGGAATTTGTTTTGTTGTTTGGTTCTTCCCCCCCCACAACCTTTCCTTCTCCTATCTCTTGCCCTTGTTTTATACAAACTGAGTTTGGAAATTCCTGGGTGGGGTTGCCCACCTTGCTTACATGAAGACATACTCACTTAAACTCTTTAATTCCAAGTAATCTACTGGGGATATTTTTTCAAGCTGTGCTTGACAAACTGTCTTACAGCTCTGATTATTTCACTGTGTCTGTGCTTATATATGTAAGAAATGCTAGGAAAAAGCCTTTTTGTCTAGCTTTCTTGCATTGTTTTACTGCAGTATTTTCAATCTTTTTAAAGAAGTTTAGTTTAACTCCTGGTTTGTTTAACTTTGCAAATAGCACTGCTATTTATTTATGTATGTGCTGCGTTTATGAGGAATAAGGCTGATTAATTCTAGTTTCATTCTTACTTCTGGTAGTGGCAGTGCAGAATTATTTCTAGATCATGTAATAACTTCTGATTGCATTTTTCAACTAAAAAGGTGTGTACAGAAAAGCACACAAAGCAAATATGCTTCCTTTTATGTAATTGCTCGTGGAATAAAGTAGCAGAAACACTTGTGAGTGTATGGTCCAAACAACCTTGAATATAAGGCATGGACTTTTTATTTCTTCCCATTTATATAGGCCTTTTTCTGTCGAAAAATGCTACGTGGTGTACTTTGTGAAAACTAAGTACTTTGTCCTGGATACACATTTCTTATTTAAGAACTAGTTTTGGCTTAGTTTAATCACCCTCAATACCTCTAAAAGGCATGCTGTGAAGGTTGCTTTTCAGTCTGTAAGA